TGCAGCTGCTCGTCGCAGACGAAGTACAGCTGCAAGAACTTGGGGCTATCATTGCCATTAGGAAGCAGGGATCCAACTCTATGATAGACCTGTCCCTGCACCTTAAACGTTGGCATGAAGCCCTGTTCTTCAACGTCTGGCGTGGCAACTGTAGTGCCAAACGACGTCATCTGGAAGCACGCATTGTACTTCCTGATGTTCTGCAAGAAATGCCTGGACACAGCACTGGTGCCGGACATGTATGAGCGAAGCGGTTCAGGCGGCTCACTTAGAGGCGGAAGATCGACCTTGCCGCTGGAGCAGCACATGCCAGGAGGTTCGGCTCTGAACTTCTTGGCTTGACATTTGCCACATACGACATCCATCCTTCCGATTAGTACCTTCGGATGGGTCGAGTAGTCTACCTGGGCATCGTAGTTGAGTGCCGCGAGGTGAAGATCTACTCGCCTGGATGTCTGTCGAGCGTGGACTTGTCGAGCACGATCACGTTCGAGCCTAACTGAATGCGCTGCACCAGTTTCCGCTCTTCGTGAGGCCTCAGTCCTCATTCGACTGCTGTCGAGGCGAGACTCGCGCTGTTCAGCCGTCTCCTGAGATCTGGCTTCAGCGTTTCTCGACCGCATGTCTTCGAGTCGAGATTGGCGCTGTTCAGCCGTCTCCTGAGATCTGGCTTTAGCGTTTCTCGACCGCATGTCTTCGAGTCGAGATTGGCGCTGTTCAGCCGTCTCCTGAGATCTGGCTTCAGCGTTTCTCGACCGCATGTCTTCGAGTCGAGATTGGCGCTCTTCAGCCGTCTCCTGAGACCTGGCTTCGGCGTGTCTCATTCGATCGTCATCGAGTCGAGAACCGCGCTCTTCAGCCGTCTCTCGTGATCTGGCTTCAGCGTTTCTCGACCGCATATCTTCGAATCGAGAATGGCGCTGTTCAGCCGTCTCCTGAGATCTGGCTTCGGCGTGTCTCACTCGATCGTCATCGAGTCGAGAACCGCGCTCTGCAGCCGTCTCCTGAGATCTGGCTTCGGCGTGTCTGACTCGGTCGTCATCGAGTCGAGAACCGCGCTCTTCAGCCGTCTCCTGAGATCTGGCTTCGGCGTGTCTCGCTCGGTCGTCATCGAGTCGAGAACCGCGCTCTTCAGCCGTCTCCTGAGATCTAGCTTCGGCGTGTCTCGCTCGGTCTCGTCGAGTCGAGAATCACGACTTTCTTGTGACTCTGAGGCTCTCAGAGCAGCAAGCCGCAGGCGAGTTTGCGAGAGACTTGCTTCACGCTGTTCAGGCGTTTGCGTTGCTCTCGCCTCGGCTATTCGGGCACGATTGCCTTCTAGCCGTTCCTGGCGCTGCTCCGAGGTCTCAGCCTCTCGTTGATCCCTGGCCTTTTTGGCCTTGGGATCAACTCTTCCGATGGATGCACGCTTCTTCGGCGGCATCCTGTGATGAGAGCCTTTAGGCTATAAGTTACTCTGTACCCGAGATATGGGAGCCTGTCGGCTTCTCGGTACTCGAGGTAAAGCCTTTAGGCTTCTCGATGCTCGAGGTGGAGCCTGTTGGCTTCTCGGTGCTCGAGATGGAGCCTGTTGGCTTCTCGGTACTCGAGGTAAAGCCGTTGGCTTCTCGGTACTCGAGAAAGAAAGAGCCTTTAGGCTTTGTCGCTTGGTCCTCAGATCCTTGGTCCTTTATCAGGTCCTCAGGTCCTTGGATCTTCGGTCCTCGCTTGGTACTCAGAGCTCTCGGTGGTTCAGTGGCCGCCGGCTAGCAGAGGTGAGTGACCGACAATGGCGAGATCGGCCGCCTTATATACCCCTCGAAAAGGGGCGGGGCCGGCTGTGATTGGTCACACCAACTCGGAAGGGGCGGATAGTTTTTGTATGGGAAGCCTATGCTTAACCACACGAAGTGGACCGCCCACTTTGGACCGCCCCTTGCCCCGCCCCCTTGGAGGGGTATATAAGGCGAGGCGTCGCGGCACCGGTCATTTCCGGTGGCTGCCTCGTGCCGGACGGTTGCCTCACTCGGAGGACAGCCATCGGATGCCTCACTCGGAGGACAACCATCGGATGCTCGGTTGTTCTCCTCCATTCGGAGGCATCGGATGCCTCACTCGGAGGTACAACCACTCGGTTGTTCTCCTCCATTCGGAGGAGACAACCACTCGGTTGTTCTCCTCCATTCGGAGGAGACAACCACTCGGTTGTTCTCCTCCATTCGGAGGAGACAACCACTCGGTTGTTCTCCTCCATTCGGAGGAGACAACCACTCGGTTGTTCTCCTCCATTCGGAGGAGACAACCACTCGCTTGTTCTCCTCCATTCGGAGGTACAACCACTCGGTTGTTCTCCTCCATTCGGAGGTACAACCACTCGGTTGTTCTCCTCCATTCGGAGGTACAAGCACTCGGTTGTTCTCCTCCATTCGGAGGTACAACCATTCGGTTGTGAGGACAACCATCGGTTGCCGCTGTCGGACAACCGAGGTTGTGACAAAAATTGAACCACTGGCTCAACACCTCCGTCGAGGTGAGCCATTCGGCCACCTCAGTCGAGGCGGAACCCGCGGTTCACTCGGTGAAAACGCACGGATATATCAACACTTGGTGAAACCGGAATTTTTACAGAAAAATCAAAAATGCTTGTATCTCGTTTCAGAGACATCCTGGGACCTTGCGTCAAAAACACGTATATGCTAACTTTTGATGGCCAATCCAGCGGTGCTACTCAAATATTTTTTCTCTTTCTCATTCGAAGACGCCATCATGATTTCCTCCCAAAAATTTAAAAAATTCTGAAAGAACTGTCTTTTTCCGAAAATATTTATGGTATGTTGACCCACATATAGACTGTGTGCATGCAAAATTTCAACAATCTAGTCTAGCTCTATTAGAACCTGATCTAAAAGAGTGTTTCATAAATAAAACATTTTTCAGAATAGTTTGAACCTCGCCAAAAAATTAAAATTGTTGTGAATTTATAGAGATCACTGTACTCTTTCAGTACGTTTGATCGTGATCATTAGCATTCGAATTATTTCAGGAAGGCTGTTTTTTAATTAGCGCACTTGCTCCTTACCGAAATCCGGTCTCAGATGATAGGAGAAATATTTTGATGCAGGATTGAGGATGAGAGATAAAGATTGCCTCGTTTAAATCAGCTTAACCAAGTACCAACTTACACCTTTCTAGTCCGAGGTTCTAAACAAATAAAGTATTGGATATTCTCGCAAACAATTACTACATTCGTAATCAGCATGCTCAGTTACCCCATTGTGCCAACTCCCAGCACCGTAGGTCAAACTTTGCAAAAAATCGATAAAATCGATAAAAGTAATGCACGGTTTCGAAAACTAATATTGTATTCGTAATCAGCATGCTCGATTACCCCCCTGTGCCAAATCCCAGCCCCGTAGCTCAAACTTTGCAAAAAAATCGATAAAATCGATAAAAGTAATGCACGATTTTAAAAACTAATGTTGTATTCGTAATCAGCATGCTCGATTACCCCCCTGTGCCAAATCCCAGCCCCGTGGCTCAAACTTTGCAAAAAAATCGATAAAAGTAATGCACGAGTTTAAAAACTAATGTTGTATTCGTAATCAGCATGCTCGACTACCCCCCTGTGCCAACTCCCAGCCCCGTAGCTCAAATTTTGCAAAAAATCGATAAAATCGATATCGATCGATGACGAAAAGTAGCTTATGACACCCGCCGGGGCCCGAAGTGTATGTGTGCCAAGTTTGGTCCGGATCGGTTCAGAAATGGAATTTTCTATTCGGAACATACGTACAGACAGACAGACAGACAGACATACAGACATACATACATACAAACAGACATTCAGCTTTATACAGGGTGTCCCAAAAAAATGTATCGAACGTTTGATCGTTAATATCTCCCTTCCAAAGAATTCTTTTCTTTTGCTTCAGGTACCATTCTGTAGAGCTGGCTTCAACTTAGGTTTGGATTAAAGAACGAATCACTCACTTCTCTTCATTACTGTAGGATTACGGTAGAAACTTCAAAGAGGGTTTCAAGCAATGAAAGGCCATATTTTGCCTCAGAAAGGAAACAAAACAGCCTGAAAGCTTTTATACTGGGCTAATTAGAGTTGCTGATTATAACTGTAGAGTTCCCAACTTATTATGATGCTTCATTGAAGAGTTATGCCAGGTGAGAGGTAGCGGCCATTTTTTCAATGTTCTTAAAAAGTGCGGATATGCCGTTTAGAAAGCTTCGTAATCTTGTGAATAGTTGAGTATTGAACTCAGCGTCCACAAAAACTCTATTACACAAGTTTTCACAATTTTTTGAAAACTTTGAAACGCAAGCTTTTTCAACAGTGACACCATATGTTTCAAGTTTCTACCGTAATTCTACAGTAATGAAGAGAGGTAGGCGATTCGTTCTATAATGCAAATCTAAGTTGAAGCCAGCTCTACAAAACGGTACCTGAAGCAAGGCAAAAGACTTCATGGTAAGAGAGATATTAACGATCAAACGTTCGATACATTTTTTTGGGACACCCTGTATATAAGATGATTCAGTGACGAAAATACTGTCTGCTTTAACCTCTGCTCAATTAGAATGGAGGTGAGCTGAGTAGAACTTTGATACGCGTTGGGTTTTTGTGATAAACGACCCACTCTTTTCCCTACTTACCAATATTCCACTATTTGAATATAAGTTCTTGGTTGAACTTCCTAGTGTCATTATAAGCATTCTGTAAGCACCGATTCATGTTTGCTGCCTTGGATAGAAGTTGGAGATCAAGTCGGATGGAAGGCCAGTGGTAAACGCGTGGTTACAGTTTTGTACCAAAATTTTTTCGCTTTTTCAAAACTTTTTTACCGTAATGATCTAAAGACTGACTGACTTAAACGATCAAGTTACAAATCGCGATTCTAAGATATTTCATCAGTTGCATTTTCTAGTTGTTAGTTGTAAGCAATGTGCTTTTTCAAACAGAGATCAGAGTCTGCCTCACTTTATCACTACGAAGATAATTCTTTTGTACCACATGTTCAAAACAGACACGTAATCCTTGGAATGCCCGTAAATTAGAATGGGGTAGAAGAGAATATGACGCCGAAAGATACCATTTGCTCAAATATTTGAAACTCTTGCATCTCAACAATTGTAGCCTTATCAAGCGTCATGGTGTGGACCTCATCGGCGATGTCAAGTCCTCTACCAACAAACGTGTTAAATTATCACAGATCTTTGCCTAAAGAAGGTTCAGTCAAAGCCTTTCGTTAATATATCGAACAAATGGAGAATAGGGATGTATCACGCAATCACAACATGTTCTGAGGTCAATAGATTCAAGACGCCATTTTGGACATTGATCAGTTCCTTCGTTGTGCAGAATCTGTAACTTTTACTATTAACTTCACCGGTTGTACCTTTCTTTGTTGAGATATCGCATATATTATAAGTATCCTTGAAGTCGAAAGACAACAATGGCAATTTATCATCATTCGCCTATAAACGAACCTTGAGAGGTAGAAATTTCTGAGCACATCGTCCATCACCACTAACGCAGGAGCTTTCACCACAGATAATTTCGTTGAGGACGCGCGGAAAATACGAACTGGGTAGATGTCGCACTGCTCGACAGGACGAGCATAGTTGATAGCTGAAAGTATAGTTTCTGCGATGACTACCTTCTTCCATTTTGAAATGGACAAGGTTTACAAGTCGAGGAAAAGCCAATGCGTCTGTGAGCTCGCATTAATTCAAGCTTTCTCACTTGGTCGTTTCCGTGGAGGGTGATAAAGTTTGAATCACATTCACTTTCATTTTTTACTTTCTTTAGGTGTAGGGCGATTCGCACAACCGTAGCGCTTTCCACACGAGATCGCCGCGCGCAAAAATTACTCTGCGGCGGCTTCTGCCTAAGCAAAGCAAAGAAAGTTTTGCATCGTGCTTGACGAGTTAAGACAAGTTAATTTTAGGGCGGCGCTGGAGACCGCCCCTGCGAAAAGGCCGCCTCATATTTTCTTTCCGCTTATCTAGTGGAGGGCCCTGACCCGAGCTTTGGTCAAGCGGCAACTTATTCATGGTCAGCCCTAGTCTGGACTGCACTTAGCGCATAACTCCGCATATTTGTGACACGTCTTTGCGCAAAACAATGGTTGAACTCCTAGGACCCATTACGATAATGCAATCGTTCGTTAGATGAGATAGGAAAGGCACATGGTTGGGGGTGAATTTTGCCATAGAGGTAATTCGTTTACTAATCAATTCCTGAGTAACCCTCTATCAGTCTTCACATGGGAAGTTTACTGCCAAGATCCGCCTGGAACTGCTTTCGGCTAGCTCACTTTACAGTATGTTACACCCACACCGTCAGGAAATTGCAATAAATGCAATAAATTCAAAACATTGGATAACACAGAAACACAGAAAATAAAACTGGTTTTCTCGTTTCCCTTGGACTATGAGGCTATAACATGCCTTTGTGTTCACAGCATAAGTGTTGCAATTGTCAAGCCGTTCTCATGTAGTTTGTATTGCAAAATAACGATGACTCAAAGCAATAAGAGGGTGTTATCATGTATCATAACAAAGCGTATATTGCTTGATACGATGATTTATTCTGGAATGCGATATCATCAAGTGACGTAATTTTCGAGCGGCACCTTTTTCGCTAGTCTGGAAGAAATATTGATGAACGGTGCGGAGAGCTTGAACAGAGGTTTGCAGAAAGTGTGGTTATTGCCATTCAAGCTCGTCGATAGGAAAAGTTTCTCTATCTGGCGGCACTGCCCCGATATTTAGAGTGCAGCATACCTTGTCTGGGGCACCTTTCCGACTTCCGGTTGTCTATATTCTTTGGAAAGGAAATGTATAATCGGCGAATAGATTGGAAATTTTCCTCTTGAAACGAAGGCCAGAGATGCGAAAAATGACTTGTATCCAAAAGGGTAAGAGAGAAGCACATGGATGGAGTATCTGCTGTACATCACCTTAGAACTTCTGCCCAAGCCACACCCGCTAAGCCTATTCAGGCACGAAGGAGCGACATTTTGACAAGTTTGCTAGTTGTGAAAAATTACACAATTCAGCTATGGGAACGTCACTAATTTAGAAGGACAAAACCTTTAGTAGATGCTAAGTGTGTTTTCAAACTCCCTCCCCCACCCCCTCACGCTATGGTCTGCCGCGTCAACACAGCGCGTGAGTGACATGAGTGCAGAATACGGAATACATGAGTACAGCTTACGGATACCTTTAACTGGTTGAAACTAGGTGGAGTATTAAGTAAGTTCAACATCTCCGGTGAGGAAAACTTGGAAGATCTTGAAAATTACCAACGGACTGCTCTAGATAAAGCATTGAGATGGGTCCAGATACAGCTTATCTTGACCGTGGTAGCTAAGCGCAGCTGCAGATGATGTTTGCAAATAGATATGGACAATATTGGAGGCAGCCGAAAATAGACAGTCTCAAGAAGTGCAGAAGGGAGCTCTGTCAGTATTAGACAGAGATACGATAGTGAGAGCCGATTCTCCCCTAGCTTCACTTTTGAGCTGGTACAGAGTGACCACCTTCACTTTTGGAATAAAATTTTTTTTCGCTGGATGATGAAGAAGGAAAATAAGCAAAACAAACGCAAAAAAAGATTATTGAAAGCATATTTTTTTGTATACTGCGGCATGTATATTTAAAATGAACTGGCTTAGTAAATAGTGTATCTGGAGGTAAAAGTTAGCGGGAATAACGTACTGCGAAGAAAGTAGGTCGATCCAGGAAATAACCGCCGAAAACCAGAATTTTGAATAATAAAATAGCGATAAATTATGCAGAATTTTCACTTTTATAAATCCTGCGCTTTCGCCCGATTTTGGACTTTTTATTTTCAGACCACCCACTTTGATGAACCGAGAGCTAACGTGTAACGTGTACCTTTTGAAGCGGTTTTCTCGCTTCGGAATTCATCTTTTACAGCGAAACTTGGTCGATGCTTAGTTAGGGTCCTCTCCATTATATATCATTAGAATCTCATTATTTTTAACTCGGGTGGACGGTGCCTTTGAGCATTTTTGATTCACTTTTGTTCGAAGTTGATACCCAGTTGTCTCGGCTTCAATTTTACAATTTTTGAACTTTTATTAATTATTCGTTGAGCTCACCCTGCTTGCAAAACTTCGCGCCTGTCATGACATTCGATTGCGATTGTTGTTCCTAAAGCTAGCACTAATGTAAAATTGCTATAACAAATGTCTAGATTCTCGCTAAACCTATCACGTCCTTGGCAGTGCCAGAATTCTTTTCCCTCAAAACATCGAGCGCGCTTCTGCTTCGTCTACTTCGTCTACTTCGCAGTTGTAGAAGCTCTGAATGGAGTTCACTAGTGAAGAAGCGATCAAACCTAGAAGCTTGGATAGGTAAATATGTTAATATCAATAGCTAAAAAAGTAAAACCCACTCTTCTTGCTCGTCGTCTTCTCCAGAGCTTTCGATTTCGTCATGATCCATACGTTCCAGCTCTCTGAGTGCGTTTCGCACAGTTTTTTGGAGTTCTCTTTTTCGTTCACTTTTCGAAGTCAAAGCACCCATTATCGACCTGAACTAGGCAAACATATATGGGCATCAATTCTATGTTAATGAGAGGCTGAAGACGACGGGGGAAGAAGAGAGGGTATGAGAATGGGGTGGAGTGCGCGGGAGGATTTAGGTTGAGTTATAGCCAGAAAAGAAGAGAAAGTTTTTTGAAATTGGAGAAGGAGAAAACTGAATTGGCTATAACATCTACCTATTTGAATTGTCTTCCCGAAATTTTACGGTTTGTTCTAAATGTACAAAAATTTGTTACAAATTTTAGATGCTACAGCAATTCTTAAAATAAATTATGCCCTGAGGGAGGTTCCCAGACAGCTTCAAGTACCTGAGACACTATCGTTGTTCCCACCGGAGAATTACCACCAAGGATTTTGCCTGCTGAAGTGCGTATCGCGATACAGACTATGAAGACGTCCACCGCTCCATGACCAGATCATCTTTCCGTCGAACTTCTGCAAGTCGGAGGACACCGTCTATACAGGCTCTTGCGTCGCATTTGGCGTCTTACCTCCAGAAGGAGAAGATTCCCACCAATGGAGAACGTCAAGAACCGTCCTCCTCTTCAAGAAGGGCGCCCGGGAGAACCTTTGGAACTACCGTTGCCTGCTGGGTGTGCTCTACAAGCTTTTCACAGATTATCCTCGCTCGCATATCTAGGACACTGGAGGAAGCCCAACCCCAAGAACAAGCTGGATTCCGCAAAGGATTCAGCTGCATGGACACATCCAGACGGTTTCGAGAGTCAGAGAGAAGTCTGCCGGGAGTACCGACTGCCTCTCGTCCTAACCTTCGTCAACTACGAGAAAGCCTTCGATAGCGTCTAAACCAACGCCATCCTGTCAGCGCTAGTCGATCAAGGAGTGAACACAGCCTACGTGAGGACACTAGCCAACTGCTACAAGGACTGTACAACGACGATGCAGCTATTCGCCCCCTAACCATTCCAATCGGGAAGGGGTTCGACAAGGTGATACTATTTCGTCGAAGCTGTTCACCGCGGTCTTGCAGTGGATGATGAAGTCACTGGACTGGGACGAGAGAGGATGGGAGATTCCTGTCCAAACTTCGTTTGGCGGACGACATCGTTCTTTTTTCGAGCAGTATCACTGAAGCAGAGACGATGCTGAAGGAATTTAACGAAGCAGGGAAGAAGATCGGACTGCGAGTGAATCCGAAGAAGACTCAGTTCATGAGGAACGCCTTTTGCGAAGATGCAGAAATGGAACTGGAAGGCACCCCTATTATGGATCTTCTTACGTGTATCTCGGATGTTCGAAAAACATAGAGAACGACTTGAGTGAAGAACTTAACAGGAGGAGAAGAGCAGCCTGGGCTGCCTTCGGACCTCTGAAGGAAGCCACCGACCAACTGACGGACCCAGAGCTTCGTGCCCACCTGTCCGACTCAACAGTTCTCCCGGCGCTCTGTTACGCAGCTGAGACTTGGTCTGACACAGTAGCCACGTCAAAAGCCCTACGGACCACCCACAGAGCGCTCGAGCGCAGTCTTCTGAAGATGACCCGACACAAACAACATCTAGTCAGACTTCGCAGCACGGATATGAGGAGAATGTCCCGTCCTCGTGACCCAGCGGATTACGTTGCGTAAGCGAAGCATCAATGGGCCGGTCACATCATGAGAAGAACAGATGACAGATGGACACTAAAAACATCTGAGTGGATTCCTCGCGAAGGCAAACGTCCCCGAGGAAGACTACCAACGAGATGGGCAGACGTGTTCGTGGAACGGATGGACCAGCTGAGAAATCAGCTGGATACAATTATCGCACCTGGGACCGTGGACGCAGCCACCGACGACAACCAAGAAGATCGTGGATGTCGGAAGCGAGGGACAGGGACAAATGGCAACTTTTGTGCTGGGGCCCTCACGTGAAGAGGGCCATCTAAGTAACTAAAGTTAAGTAACTGAGTAAGAGACACTATTCATCCATTTCCCGATCTGTCCGGCAGAGTTTTACAGGTAACGTTCGTGTACGCCCATCACTTGATCGGGCCTGGTGAAACAATGCCCAATCAGGGGCGGTATTTATCAACTTGGACGGGCGCTGCTCCACCGTCATAAATGAGGGCCCTATTGGGTAATGGACGTCTTTCATTCGGTGAAAAAGGTTCTCAACCAGAGAACAGGAAAATGATAATTACCGTTCCCAACTGGGCATTGCTTCACTAGCGCCTGATCGGACGATGGGTGTTTTTCTCAGGTGATTGCTAAACACGTTGCACTTCTTGCGTTGATACTGGCTGAGAACTTAGCTAGGCATTGCCCAAGTAGCTCATGTAATTCATCGGCTAAGAATTCAGCTCTAAACTCTAGCCCATACCGTAATTTCTTTGAGTGCGGAAGTACCATCAAAGTGTTATGTATCAATTACTTACAAAGCTGAATGTCTGTTTGTATGTCTAAAGAACTGAGGATATAGAGATATAGGAGTGCGAACGGAGAGAGGGGAGGGGGGGGGGGGGGAGGGCAGTTACGTAAGAAAATTTTGTTCCTTGCGGAATTACCGAGTGTCTCGCTTCCAATCGTCCTCACTCCACCATGCTCGTTCGGATTCTTTTGGTTTCGGTAGTTGTTCATCGCCGGTCATCACCAGGCGAACTAACTTCGATTTCCTGCAAGACAAGAAGAAAGTAGGGTAAATTTCCATACACATTCATGCATGTCTTTATGGCATTATCCACTACACCAACACATCATTTGTTCTGCAACGAAGCGGCGCATTAAATAATTTATGACAGGTTGTGGTTGAGTTGATTGACGTGCATGCGCTTACGTATGTATGATTTTCATGTCCTAGACAAAAAAGTCATGAGAGGAAAAGGCTTTTAGATCACTCTGGAAAAGTGGTCTTATATGGCAATGATCACACTTTATGTGAATCGTTGCATTCAAGAGAACCGCGTCATCAAGTTCGCATATAAAAGCGGTGCGGAAATTGGGACCTATGACACCAACAATCAAAAAGGAATGAAGTCTTTTTGACAGATTAATCTTTGCATGGAAGTATTTCATATTTATGCCATCAGCAAATTTTGAAATTGCCGCGCTTAGCACGTTTTCCATATGGGACCCACGCTCTAGCAAATCGCGTGTGGAGTGAAAAGAATATGATTTGACACTCAACAATTCTTAACACGTTGATGACGAGCCATTTTGATGATGTCTGTTCCTGTGAACAAGCCCTTTCCCTGCATTTTTACGCCTGGCTGCATGTATGTAAGCATGCATCTATGCGTGAAGAATAAAATACAAGTGGGCAGGGCAATTCCGCCCCCTTTTGGCAAGCCCGCCCCTCGACAAGAATTCGTGCGAATTCCAGCATTTTTGAAAAATAGGCGGGGCCTGTCGAAAGGGGTGGGGCATACCTAATAAGGAGCGGGGACTAGGTTGAAGTCGAATGAGGTTCCCTGGTCATTTATGACATCTTCTACGCGCTTTGAGGACGAAAAAAGCCTCTTGTAGAAGGCAACCGAGTGGACGAAGTTTGCCAAAATAGGGGCATGGCCAATATGAAATACCCCTTAGCCTAAAGTGAATTATATGAACAAAAATTAGGATGACCGATACCTTGAAATTGGAGTTTGAGGTGCCGCGCACCATTGCGCGGCGCTGTCATCAATGTACTGATATCATTCTTGCACGAAAAGACTGCATGTTTTTCGCGTTGCCCATTTTGCGGCGCATTCAGGTTGGCTGTTCGGTCCCGCAAACAAAATGGTAAAGCAAAAGTGCTTTGATACCTATCAATTCTTAAATACATATTCTTGCGTGGAAAGATTGCACGTTTAAATCCTTAAGCAATCGCTACACAATTGCCACGCTCAGAGCTTTTCCATGTGGAACCTACATTCTGACAAATCGCATTGTTCGTTTTGCGGCGCACTCATTGGTCGGCTGTTGGGTCCCGCAAAGAGAACGTTTGAAACGGAAGGTTTTGCGATGTGCTTGCAGTGAACCCAGCAATTGCCTATGGGGCTCTTCCACGGGTGCTCTTGGAGCTCTTCTTGAAAAGACATTTTCTATGCAAAGCTACTGCGAGAAATTACGTTTGCGATTTTTCTATACGTATGTTCGCGTACCTGCTGTGTCATAGTTGTACTAGCTGAAGCCTTCCTATGCCTTTTCTAAAATTTATCTCTAGTCCCTGTTCATAGATCCAATTTAATACGGCGTTAAGTGTTTTTCACTTGACCAAAGCTATAACGCAATGGCATTGTTTATGAGTCTATTAAAATTAATGAGTTCTCAAAAGCGCGCAGATCTAGTCGGCTAACCATTAATTATGCGAGGCTAGTACTATGGTGAGTGGTGGTATTTCTTTGGAATGAGTAGGAACAATTTTTGATCCACGAAGCTCATGTGCCGCAGCTTGAAAACCATTATGTGATAAGTGGTTCTTCTAAATTTCCAAAAAAAAGCCCGGAAAAAAACCCACTTTTCACATTTTTCATCGCAGTGGTATCTACTTTTCGCTTTCATAAAGTTTTTCCCTCCTAAATCGGGAAAATGGCGGCTCGCAGTGATTATATCCGGAGCCATGTAGATCTCATTGTAGATACCACTGTCCTGCAAGTAGTTATAAATCCACGGGTTCGAAAAAAGTTTTGGGTAAAATAAATGGAAGGATAATATACAATTTTTCTTTTTATTCTGGACTTGCTTTCCCTACACTTGCCATCGCTCCACGAAAAAAATGCTTTTTGAACAATAAATTGAGCTCAAAAAATCAAACACAATAAATAAAATCATACTTTAAAAGCCGTAAGAGACCTCCCTTATAACTAATCTTTAATTCAACTTGCTTGGCGGTTGGAAGGCGGGGCTCTGTAACTCAATCAAGGCCACTCGCACCTACTACGCAGTCTGCGTCTCTCTCGCGCGCGTGCTCTCTGTTCACTATCTAGCCTTAATTAGGTCATACAGCCCCCCCCCCCTCCAGCCGTCAAACCAGTTGAATCAAAGGGCACCTAGCATTACAGATGAGCCCTCCCCCTCCCCCGTTAAGCCCCTCTCCCTTCCCAGTCCCAAAAAAAAAACAATTACTTCAAAAAATACATTTTTCATTCTCACGAAAATTAAACACATAAATAAAAATAAAATCTAATAATAGAATAATCAGTTTTTCTTACCTTCATTATCTTTAGCAAAGCCATTGGATCCGTCTCTCCACAAAGATCCGCAGTAGTTGGCGCTGCCCATTCGACTGTAGTGGGAATAGCATCAGCTGCAATACAAAGATGATTTAGCAAATTTTTACCAGTTCTTTGAAATATTGAATTTTCGTGGTTTCAAGCATATCTAAATGCTGCGTCTAAAGAGCAACACGTGAATTTTTGTCTACTTTCGTTTTTTCTCTCGCTAGAGTCCAAGGCTTTCGCAAACCGGTTTCGTTCGCTAGGCATGACAAGGTGGGTGTGGCAGAAGAGGGATCAAAGATCGCAGAAATATTTATTTTGAGCAAAGAACTGCAAATTATTTATATCATGGATATTTGTAATTCAAATGCTACAGCAAGAAAAGATAAGTAGAGGGACGAATCCAGGAAGAATATGCCTTTATTTTGAAAGTTTGCGCTTTGATTTTCATGTCAGCACTGCATAGTCGTAGAGCAAGAATTGATATTTTTTGACTTTTATGTCTTTCGGAACCCGTGTGCGTCATTTGCAAGCTATGGCCTCTTTGAAACAAAATAATAATATAAGCGAATTTCGTACCCACATAATTAGTTCGATGCGTAGAACTTGCAAGGTATGAGTTAGTGCGTAGGCTTACAAGAAAGAAACACCAAAAACTTGCCTTAAAAATTTTCAACACATTCACAACAATACGACCCACCGGTGGGTCGTACGTGCTCTTCCATTTTGGACACGACCCGCCGGTGGGTCGTAAGGTTCACAAGCTCTAGCTTTGCCAGTTTACGATGGAAATTTAGGGCGTTCTGGCACATAATTGGGGGCACTTAGGCGAAGTTCCATAAGGTCTGGTACTGTAATATAATGTTACGGTAGGTATACCATAGATAGAGATAAGGCACAGACTTAAGCTCAAATTCTTCGTAAAATGATGCTGTTTTTGAATTCAAGTGTACATGCATGCGAAATACGGCAAGGGCAAGAGACCGAAGTTAGCTCATTAAAAATATCGGTTTCAATGATTTTATTGATTTTTAGCAATATTCATCTCACAAAGTTCAAATCTTACAACATAGCTTTTATGGCATGCTGATACGAAAATGATAGCCTCAAGTTTTGATACCGCCTTCTTGCGTCACTTTCTTGATTTTTACAAAAAATTCTACCGTAGTGTTACCGTACCCCACTACCCCACTATGGGACAGCACTAAACAAAGTGGGCACTTTGATTGTGATCAGCACGTGAACTAACCCCAAAACACAGTTTTTAAAATTCCATGTGTTAAATTTGTACAGAATGATTACCGTAACTTTACCATATGGGGCTAAAAACTAAATTGAACTATATTTTGCTAGTCAACGTCTTAGACAACTCCTTTGGGGAGATTCTCGAAGACATATTTTGAGTTTTTACCAAAAAGACTTTCTATTTCGGACAGTAGGACCCACGGGTGGGTCGTAAGTTTGACAGAGCGAAAAAGGCTCTGGCCCGAAACGGCAGTAATCGAAAAATCGGCCTTGTTGTGAATGTGGTAAAACAACCCTCATACACTCTTTCTAGCTAACAAGTGTTCTTTTCGACTATGCATGTCAAAAATTATAATTCAAAACGTTGGTAGCATCAAATTATTAGTTCTAGTAATTTTGAAAAGAAGATTAACTTGTTTTTTTTTATATTTTTTTATCAGAATGCAAAGAAGTTACGATCAATGTTCATTTTCGGCAGCTTGTATCGCCTTGATATAAAAACACTGAAGCGCATGGTTTTTCTCTTTATTCTATTATAAAACAAACTTCGGAGGATAGAGGAAATTAGTACCTATGAAAATTTGGTACCAGACTTGAATCAACGTAACAATTTGAGAAAAAACACGAAAAATTTCATAAATAATAGATGTAAATTCTCCGCTTACTTCTTGAATGCTAGACCCATGAAATCAGATAAAGAATGACTTCTCCATATTTTTTTCAAAGGTGTAAGAAATCATACATCATCGTTTTGTGGATAACTAGAGATAATCCCCCTTCCCCTGCCCGCCCATGTGCGTATTCTCCCCACTGCCTTCATGCTTGTTTTAGTTTTTCTTTTGTTTGGAGCATCATTGAAGGGAGCATTTGTGCAGAGCCTTACCCCCTCCGATTGATACTTATACTGGTTATAGGCCCCGAAAAAGGGGCATATGCGTTGGCCCGCCCCTCCAATGTGGTCTCTAAATGCAAAAAGTAGACCTGGAACCCACGAAAGTGCTACCAAGCCACGCCCGTGCGATCAAGCCCCGCCCATCCAGGCATCTGGACGTTATCCACGCTTAAGTGCAGTTTTCGCAGAAATCGTTTTTTTTTTGAATTTGCACATTGCGTACTTCATGGCTGCAATCAGGGCCATGGAAAGGCCCCAGAATGACAAAAATATAGAAAGCGAAATTTTGGGTGGATGCTGTTTTTAGGGAAAAGAGTGTGCAATTTCGTTGTGAATTCTAACAAAACTGGCGTCGTTTGAAGAAAATTTTTTCTACTTTGTAAAGGAAATTTTTGCCATGGGTCCAGACACTTGAGGTGATGTTTACTTTTCTTAGAATTAGTGTGTGCTGTAACCAGAGCACTTCAAAGCCCTCATGGGAGGTCTTTTCGCTTTTTGTCTCGTCTGAAACTCTTTGGCATTGATTTGTTTAGTTGAGAGAACAAAGTGAAGTTGATTGAGATGTATGTATTGATGACATCGCGCAGGAAATCACTTGAACAGAACTTGAAATCATCGAAACCACATCGACACGAAACTGTTAGTGGAAAAACTGTAAAGATCATTTACTTTGTTGGGGAGAGTTCAAGGCTGCAATACCAGCGTTTTTGTTAAGAGTTTGATGAAGAATTGGCAGGAGGTCAGAGATTTTGCAAATGAGATGGTCTTTTTGAAAGAGAGCAAGGAATTGGCTACTCAAGCACTATCGTTATATCAGGGCCCCTCGGGTCGCGAAATTTCCAAGAGCTTTTTTTTTGCAAAAGTTATAGAAGACGCGAGTGACTTGTTTATACGTGTAAAGATTTGAATTTTCTTATTTTTTATAAATCAAATTAGCCTTGTGTTTTTTAAGATTTTTATTTTTATAAATCAAATTAGCCTTGTAAAAAATTTTCGGGGCCTAGCTTCTCCAATGCCCCGTTTTCCACAATTTTATGGGCATGGGCAGGCAAAAATCTTGTCAAGAGTCGCAAAAAATTTCTTGGAGTGCATGGCCAATGTCATGCACCTTCATTCAAAAAATTTTTTCTGTCCCCCCCCCCCCTCCAGAACGGAGAACCTATAAAGGGTCCGCTACCGATATGTATGTGGCATTTTCTCAGATAATGAAGCCATCGTTAAGAAAATGCAAAAAATTTCTCCTTCGTTTTTTTTACTCGCGTTTTTTGCGTTGATAAAGCGAGGAAGATTTTTTGGCGTTTTTTTTTCAAATTTTCATCAAACGAAATTATTAAAATACATGGGAAGGCTCGATTAGTAAATGAGATAAGAATGAAATAGCGTAATTATCAGAAAAACTGCAATAATCAAAGGTATTTGTCCCATTTAGTTTTTTTAATGAACAGACTTCAATTTTTGCTCTCCAAGAGCGTTTGATGTTACTAAAAATTTAAAAATAAACACATCCAGAAAATTTTACCTGCAGATTTTTTGACGGTTAAGAAGGTGCAGCGGAAATTTCCCACAGTCACATACTTGCAGAAATTCGTTCTTCAAAGAAAATCATTTTTTCAGGAAAAATTCCCTTTCAGGCAGTCTTCATTGTCATTGCTAAAGTTCAAAATTTACAGAGAAAAGGCTTTTATGAAAGAAACTTCTCAATCGTAAGAGTCTTAATTCTGCAAGCCCTGATTAAGGAAAAAAGGATTCTTATCAAGTAGCTCTGCAACTCTGCAAATTTTGCAACGATTGCTCGTTTTTGAGTGTATTTCTTTTTTGACAACTGGTATGCAATAAAGTGAGAAAAGTTTTTACGAGGCAAAGAACAAAAGGACTGAACTAATTACAGTAAAATTATTCTTGCGGAAACAATATCTTTTAAAAAGGTTAAATCAGAATATTCGAACCCAAAGCTTCACATGACATTCTTCTTTCATTCCATTCATCGGAAGCGCTTGAATAGAATGGAATTAAGAGAATTCTGTAACCTCACGCTTTTCAATGAGCAAAAAAAAAAACGATTTAACGCCTAACTATATTGTTTTTTGTCAGTGTAATTACACAATCGGAAATGAAGCTTCTATCATTTGTAAAGCAAACTATTTTTTTGTATATACATCCTATATGAATTTATGAATCTAAGCCTCTAGCTGAGGGAGAATACAAAGCAGGGCGGAAGGAAGTAGGAAGGGAAAAAAGTAAAATGTTGGTAAAAAAATTTTCTGATAAGTTTCAATTTTGAATCGTGATTTTGCTGGTTTTTGAGTACACTGCCTCAATTGTTGGAATCCTGCAAAATATAAAAAAATATGTAAATTGAGTCCTGTGAATCATAAAAGGAAACATCGTGTAACAACTTCTGAATATTGCTATTTTTATATTTCAATTGTTCTAATTATTTCGAATATACATGACATTATGGTTACATGCTTGATTTACATATCTGCTACTATTTACCATTTATTTGTTATTATTATTACCAAAAAGGTTCTTTGATAAATTCCTCATTAAATTTTGTTCTATTTTTCATTTAATTTTTTCATTTTTACTTCAGCTCTTTAATTTTATCGTAATTTCTCAGAATTTTCAACTAATTTTCTAGTTATTATCGCTTCGACAGGCAAGGATCTGCAAAAATATTTTGAAAGAGTAAAATCGATCACAAAAGAAAAACTTTGGAACTTTTTGATATCATCGTTTTTATGTACATTTTATGACAATGCAATCATATAGATCTCTTAATTACGTCATTGCAATCATTGCTTCCTCTTCGATAACAAAAGAAAATTTAAGAATGTTCGAGAACATCATCCATTCTTTCGTCACAAGTGATTTCCATAAATTATGTGAGAACTGAACAAATGACTTCTAAAAGGCAGAAAAACCAAAGCGCAGAAACGATTTCCCAAGAGCAAAGTACAACAGAAAGTAATGGACAGGTTACAAGGGAAATTGTTCAATTATCTTTTTGTTAGGAGGAAAAGATGTCGATAGATGGGAAGAATTATAAGGGAAGAGAACTAATAGGTTGCAAAGTTTTCGAAAGTGTTCATGAGTTGAAAGCTGAATTGTAGATTTTTTGCAAGCAATTTGCGCCTGTTTTTAAGTGGTCGGAATAATGATTTTTTGACCTGTAAAGAAAATTCAAATTATCTTAGCAGTGACTGCTAGTATCCCCTAATTACTCGAGAGTTATTTCTGTCGTCCCTCCCCCTCACATTCTTCCATAAAAATTCTTCAGAAAGTAATTGTGGGTAGTTTTTATTGGAGGAAGAATACTGCGAGAGTTTTTAAGAATTTTTTTTTGTCGGAATATAAAAATTTGAAAATGTAGGGATGCCCGTTGCAAATTATTAGTATTCTAATTGAGTTAGCAGTGGGGCCAAAATTTCGGGAAATATTTCCAATACAAAGGAATTTCCTTTTTCGTTCCCCCCCCCCCCTCCCCCCTCCCCCGCTTCCTTCACAAAAATTAGCCTACTTTTTGCTTACTTTAATGACTATTAGACTACTGCAATGTATTTTGTATTTTGTATTTTATTAGATTGCGTCGTATTTTATAAAATGCAAAGTTTTCCAAGCTATGATTTTTTATCATATTTTTATTTATTCAATTTTCACAGTTTTTTTTCAGTGAAGCTTCTCTTTGAGCATTCGTCATCTAAAGAAATATGACCTGATGTTCTCTCTGGTGACGATCACGGCTTTCCAATTTATCCGAGATTAGCTGCATTATCGTCAGCTGATCTCGTTGCATCCTCTAAACCCTTCTAAATCCGCTAAAGAACGCGGTAGTAGCAAAAAGGAACGTAAATTTATATATTAGAAAGGGATCATAGGGTTTTTGACGTATGTAGGCTGTCGTTTTGCCTCTCCTCTCTCTCATAGCTTTGGAAAACATTGATATTGTGAATTCCGAAAATATTATTTTTTTCGCACAACATTTTTTCCAAAAAATGCTTCAAGCTTTTCCTTTTACAGTGCCCTTAGGAAATTTTTTTCTTGCTAAAGAAATTCTTGGAGCAATAAATGTATTCCATTTAAGATTGATTAGATGTCCTTACAATATTACGTATTCTAAAGAATCCCCAAAAGTCACAAAAAGGGCATTGGTCTCAATAGAATGCCAAGTACTTCACACTCATAAAAATTTACCTAAATAACCATAATGAAGGGGTTATGGTAATATTATAGGGCTGTTCTCAACCTTTTCGAGAAAGCGGTTTAACTTAGATGTACACATTACCTCAAAGATTATCCTAACCTTTGAATAGAAAGATGAATTAATCCACATTTTTAAAGTAACCCCCCTTTATTCCTAAGTGCTATTTCATTGTTTGGGATGACCCGAGTTGAATGATATCTTATTAATAGACTGAATAACAACAATAGAACTTAGGAAGAGTGCAAGGTACTTTGGATGGATATTTTTAGAAGAAATAGCGAACCATCCCCCCCCTCCTCCTATAGGCGGCGAAATCTTTGAAAATTACTTACATGGGTTATAAAAATGGAGTGTCGTTTATTTTTTGCAATGAAAATTGCAAATTCAAATTAGCCTCCAGATAATCTTTTTATCTTAAATTTTTTGGAATGCCTGGCGCTTTGAGAGAAAAAAGAATTTTTTGCGAGAAAGAAGAAAAAATTCAGACAGAAATTCTTCCTTTATTTCCCATCTTCGTTCTTTTTTCTAACCGGAGTCAGTCATAATTAGATAAAAAAATGTTCCCAAAAAACTTATAATTATCAATGCCTAAAAGAAATTTTTTCGCAAAACGTTAATCTTAAGAAACATGTAAAGTTTCGTCTAATACAGACGCTTACGAAGTCAATAAGTTTTCAATCTTTCAACCCATTCATATGGATTTTTCACCCCCCCCCGTCCATACGGAAATTCTAGGATTGCCACTGCCAGAAAATCTTAGGGGGTTACAGTTTTGAGAAAAATCCAGTGTGTAGACGAAATATTCGGCTGTAGATCACTTTGGGCGCGGCGCCCACCCCATAAAACAAAATAATTTTTAATTTCATCAAGAAATACTTTCTCCAATTGGATACCTAAAATGTACTTACTGGGTACGGTAGCTGTCGTAGAGGTAGTGCTAGTAGTGCTGGTAGTGCTGGTAGTGCTAGTAGTGCTGGTAGTGCTGGTAGTGCTGGTGGTGATAGCTGTCTCATGATTTCCTGCCTTTGTTGTAATATTCGTTGTCGGTGGTGGCGGCGGTTGCGGTGGCGTTGGCGGTAATGTGGACGAAGTCGGTCGCATTTCAACCAACTCCCAGAATCGGATTGGCTCTTTGATCTTGCTGGAGTCGATGTTTGGCTGCCATATACGTACACGAACTTGAGCTTCTGCCATTCCGTAGAGGCTGAGCAGTACGATGAGAGACAGTGGCTGCATTGGATGCAGCAGGCAGGCTCGGGTACGTGGCGAGACAGTGTGCCTGACCAGGAGGGAGGGGCTAGAGGGTCCGGAAGGGAGACGGGGAAAGTGGGAGGGCGACAGGCCAGGCAATGGAGAGGGAGTGTGAATGTGTCTGAGGGATGAGTGGTGAGAACTACGCCGAAATTGTGCGTAATCGGGGAGAGACCGCGGCAGACACGCATTAGAGAGTATATGCCTGGTCGACGGGGGCGGGCAGACACTATGCACGGGGCGTAGATGTCAGGCCAGCTGCAGCTGACGAGACAGCCGCCCGCGGACGGTTAGCGCACATCTTCGGGGGGTCGAGAATCGATAGTCGGTATGCGGTGGTGCTGCGGGCCGGCTGGGCCCGCTACGCCCCTGCTCGAGGCCCCAGCAGAGGCCCTAAACGACGCTTTTGGGCCAATGAGTATTCGCCCACATAATACGGTTTGTCAAATCTTTATTTTCTAGAATTTTCCCAGATTTTTTTGAGCCATTTTCAATTTTTTTTCTTTCGCGCTTTTTTCGTCTTCGGATACAGGTTTTCTATTGGTCGCGCATTCTACCGTAATGCGCGCGCTCGCTACCGTAACCGCACCATGTCCAAAGTTGCGCTTGCACCCACACTTTGCAAAACGAGCACGAGCATGACTGATGTTCGTGTTGGCGGCTCATAGACGCTAAGTCAAACGAGTCGCGCGTCATTTCCTCAGCCGAAACCAGCAAAAAATGTCCAAAAGAGAAATGATTTCAACACGAAAACGAGACTAGAAAATTTTCAAGAATTTTGCCAATTTTTAGGCGCTAGTGATTAGCGAATCCGAGCCGGAAGGCGCATTTTTGGATCGTCTTCGTGCTCTCGGTTGGTCCATCAACGTCTCACCGGTCTCGCAAGCCGTCTGTTCTGTACAACAACTTCGACCTATTCTTTTGCTACTCGATAATCGTATTCCGGAACTTCCGACGCTGTCCAGGTTTGTGACTTTCGCTAGAGAGTATTTTTCTCGCTAGATCAGCGCTTTTCCTCTTCATGTTTGTCGAGTGTCTCGTATTTCGTAGGGGAGAGCTCGACTCTCATGAGCGCCCCTCTCACCCCGTGCATGAGTGTGTATTTATTTGTCCTTGTTTGTTCCTCTCGTTCACACTGATCCATATATTTCGATTATTTTTGTATTTTTGAATTCACGAAAATTTCCTCTGCAATTTTTCCCTTTTTTCTCCCTCTCTTTCCATCAATCCTATCGTTCGTTGAATCGTTGATTGCTCCTCTGCCTTCTCTCATTGTCTTTCTCTCTTCTCCCCACCACAAAGTATGTGCGGGGTTCGAAATTGTCGCCAATTTTCTCAATTACAATGTGACAGTCTTAAGACCTCTCTCTCCCTCTTGTCTTACTGTAGCTCCACCACTTTTTCTCCTTCGAGACGTAATTTCGCGAAAAATTCTGTGTATCTTCTCAGTGCGAATTGCAAAAGCACGGGGTCGCAAGTGCTCTATTGTGTGTGACGAAAGCGTGGCATATTTTATCTCTCTCTCGATATTTTATCAGCCATTCGCTCTGATGACGTAGTGAAACGTTACACGTAGTTATGCATGGGAAGTGTATGATGTGTGTGGCTTTGTAGGGGGGGGGGGAGGGTAGGTAGGGGGGAAGAGTGAGAGAGTATGTGTAAATGTTAAGGGACGCATGGGTATCATTTATTCTGGGACTAGGAGGCAAGAAATCGCTTTGCACTTGTCTATGCAAGCTTGAACTTGTTCTTCCATGGTTTTAGGCAGGAAATAATACTAGACGAGATAGATCACAAGTGTAAACTTGTAAGGACACAATCAGGCATTTTTATACCATGTTCTTTCATGATTTTGGGCAGTGCATAACAGTAGATCAGGTAGATCACAAGTACAAATTTGTTAAGAACACAACCAAACTTGTTTTTCCTTTGTTTCTCCCTAATTTCACGCAGTAAATAACAAAAAAGAGGTAGATCACAAGTAGAAACTTGTTTAGAACATATTCAAGCTTGTGAACTTTGTTTATCCCCGAAATCATGTCATAAAGATGAAGTAGCTCACAAGTACAAACTTGTTAAGGACACAATCAAGCTCTTTTGGGACTTTGTTCTTCTGTTCTGAGTTTCTTTAGTAAATGTTAATTGATGAGTAGATCACAAGTATAAACTTGTTAGGAACAGGAACACAACTAAGCTTGTTTGGACATCGTTTCTCCCCGATTTTACTTAGTAAATGACAATTGATGAGGTAGATCACAAGTATAAACTTGTTATGAACACAATCAAGCTTGTTTGAACCTTGTTTTTCCCCTGATTTTACTCTATAAATGACAATAGATTAGGTAGAGCACAGCATAAACCTGTTGAGAACACAATCAAGCTTGCTTGGATCGTTTCTCCCAGATATTATTTAGTAAATAACAATTAATGAGGTAGATCACACTAGATGGGGTAGATCACAAGTACAAACTTGTTAAAAACACGATGAAGCTATTTAGACAATGACATTACAAACTTGAACTACTCTCAGAATGAGAGTAGTTCAAGTTTGTAATGTCATTGTCTAAATACCCTAATTACCCTAATTTCACGCGTACAAGGCGCGGGGTGGTCCTAGCTTTCATCGAGCTGCTCAGCCGCCCCAACGTGATTTAAGAAGCGATCCTTATGCTGCACGATTCGTCAGGCAAAACGCAGCACGGTATGGGGTTCCTTTGGTTGCGAAGTCCTTTGCCGTGTTCGGGCTGGTCGATGAAAGCTAGGACCACCCCGCGCCTTGTACGCGTGAAATTAGGGTAATATGTCTGCTAAAGGTGATCTTTGGAAATTTCCTGTCAAAAGAAAACATCCTTCCCCCCCCCCCTTCAGACGCGTTCTTTGCGGGAGTAATGTGTGATTCTGTTTATGTGCTCAAGTATTCGTCGTGAATATTCTCCCTCATTCTCTCCCTCTTTCTTGCGCGCGCGTGCCCGCCCGTCCGTCCAGAGGATGTGTGAAAGATGTTGGCGTAGTCGTAGCTAATTGAATTCAACACACACCCACCACCATCTCGCATTCCTCGAGCTCGAGCTTACCTCGATGTCTTTGAGAATCGTTGAAGATGGCGGTAGAAACCATATCAAGAAAAAGCTTGAAAGAGGTATACCGTAGCCATCATGGTAATTGCCGCGGGACCAACATGTCATGAAGATAATGAGTGAATTTACGCAGCGCGATATAATCAGAGCTGGAAAGCATAAAACGCTCAGAGATAATAGCAGAAAGAGTAAAATTTGAAAAAAAATCAGTGAACAAGAGGATAATAACGAGTAGTAAGTCACAAAATTAATGAATAAATAATGGCAAAAAGAGAGATGTCTTTTTTAGAAAAAGTACTTTTTACCAAGTTTATTTTTCTTTCTTGGTTTAATACCGGCTTCCTAACAAACAAGGAAGACCTCTATTACACAGTACTATTTGTGGAGGCGGCTTCGTATGTAACACTATAAACGGGAAATTCTTTTGGAAGGCGGCATTTCACATTTTTTTGTTGTTTTGTTTTTTTTTGGAAACTTTATCTTTCAAAAATTTCCCTGTTTCAGTCACAGCTTATAAAACCGCCTCCGAATGAGTGACAACGTTTTTTGAAGGCAGCCAGATATTCAAAAATTGAAACGGGAAGTTTCCTGAAGGCCACTTTACTACTACTTGAAACGGGAACTTTTAAAAATGAAAAAGATCTTTTTAACATACTATAAAGAAAGAGGTAAAATGCGCACGTTGGACTATGCATCCTCCCTTCTCCCTTGAACAGTCCAGATTTTAATCAACTGAATTCTCAAAAAATTGAGTAAAATAAACTTTCCGACATCCAGTAATCATTTTCGCTTTTTATACTCAAAGAAATTTCAGAAAACCGCATTTCACCTTTCCATCGTTCTTCTAATTAATTATCATTAATTCTTTCAAGATTCGGTACGACTTTGCACAAATTGTCAAAACAAGTTCCTAATGTGTCTAGCATGTTTATACTTGTAAAGTACAAACCTGTTCAAGAATGTTTAGATAATGTGTGCAAAGCGTTTTCGAGTCTCTTAGTCCCAGAACGAATGATAAATAGTCTAGGATTTTTATCAGCAAAAATCTGAAGAACCTCGAACCACTTCACCTCAGAGACCACTTTGCACAGTCAAAACAAGTTTGATCATGTGTTCAGCATGTTTATACTTGTGAACTAACTAACTAATTTATGAATTTTGCTATTTGGAATAACAGGAAGAACATGTTCAAGGTTGTTTAGACAATGTGTGCAAAACGAGTTTTGGAGTCGTTTGGTCCCAAAACGAACGATCAACAGTCTAGAATTTTTACCCAGCAAAAATCAGAAGAAACTCAAACCACTTCACCTCACCTTGTTTGCTCTAATCCTTGATGTTCAACCTGAGGTCTTTTTCTGCACCCATGCTTGCCATTCATTTCGCATGACAGTGTTTTTACCTTCGGCTACGTCATCAGCTGCACGCACATCGCCACGACCTGAAAACCTAGAACCGGAATTCCTATTTGCTGGCTTCCTTGAATCGGGTAAAAAACCCGACTAACAAGGAAAAGCAAAGTGGGTGGGAGTAAGCGTAGGTGGGTTTTGAGTCATTGAGTTAGTGCAGACAAGCTCATTAGTTTGAATAGATACTAGAGTTCTTTGAGGGGGAGGACAAGCAGTTTGGAGTAATTTGGAGGGGGCGGAGGAGGAGGGGGGAGGCTCGAATAATTTCTATAGAATCTGTCGGATCAATTATGTAAATTTCTGAAAGTTATTACAACTATCTGTCATTTGCAAATTTTGCCGAACACAAGCAATTACTGAAATTGTAGCTTGACGACAGCAATTTGCACTTTCCGTGTTCTCAACGTCTTTTTCTTTTTTATCTTTTTTCCCCTGCTAGACTTGATAGTAAGCTTTTCTACGTAAATGTTCGTCGATTACTCATAGTGCATTCGTTTGCCATTGAAAAGAAACTCAAAAGTAAAGTTCAGCTGTCTGAGACTTAACGCAAATAAATTTGCAGAGGGGGGAGGGGATTTAACGAGAGAACGAACTGGGATTAAAAAGAAATAATCTGTTATATAAAGAATCGTTAGCTCAATTCAAAAATCTTCCAATAGCGGGAAACCGCGGCGGGTCCCGAAGCGAACGCTCTTCCATGTAGCACCTTTAGATTACTGGTTCACTAGTTTTTGCAGAAAATCGGGGGGGGGGGGGGGGGTTTGGGTGTAGGGGATTACAGTTAAACACTCTACGTGCTTCTGTAAACACGCTAAAAAATTCTAAGATTTTTCCTCTAGGATATATGTTTTTTGCTTTCGTTCAATTTATGCCTCTGCAACTTGGAAAATACGCTGATTTGTGGATGTTGCTGTAGTCTAAAAAAGTTAAATCTTTTTATTATACACTCTCTAACTGATATATATTGATTAATTTACTTATTTGCTTATCTATTAATCTCTTATTGATTTATTTACACTTTAAAGCATGCCACAATAGCTTGAATCAGACAAATTAGAGAAATCAAAGAGACAAAAACCAAAATTGAAAATAAAAGATCAATAGTCCAAGTCATTATTGATCAATATTTTTCAATACTGTTCGTAATAACTATTCTTTATTGAAAGTCTCTCCTTCAGAAGCCAAGAAAGAATTTTTGAAACCAAAAGAATAAATAACTCAGCAATCAGCATCACATAAATTTCGATATTTTGCACAGTCAAATTTATTATTCCCATTCGCAATGAATTTCCAATATTTGTTGAGCTCTATCATCGGAAATCCCATACTTTTCAATCACTCTGTAAACAGTGCTCGACATTTTGACCCATTCAAAGTCATCTTATTAGGTCCAAAAAGCAATTTCGATTATTAATGAACACCACATTTTGTGGAGCAAAGGTTTCTGGAAAAGCATTTCAACCTTTTTCTAATTTTTATAAA